TGACATTTTCGATTAAATTAGAATTTGTGATTGGGGAAATGGAGAATCATTGACCTATATGGAATGAATTTGAAGGCATGGGAGATCAATTTACTTATGAAAAATCACAGATACTTTAGTGATTTCGATTCTAGGTGAGTTTTAACTGAACTCTCCCATTAACCACTCAAGGTAATGCCTTATCTTCATTCTGAAGGGGCATGTCAGTCACTGGGGATAGCTGAGCGTCAAATATTTGATAAATGCCGACGGTAGTGTCTGCAGGAGTTTGTTTTGTAGAGAGAAGAACATCACCTTTTACTACAGACATCGCCAAATGTTTGGCGCCACCTACGAGGAGGTTAGTAAGTGTTGGCAGCATTTGGGCTAAGGCTCTAGCTGCAACAGTTGATCATATCTCGAAAACATCGAAGCCCTTTGACTTAAATAGAATACCACGATTCGTAAATCCGTTTGTCCTTAACTAGGATGGGTTTTGACAGAAACGCAAGCTACTTTATTAAAAAAAATATAAGGATCAGCCGCTAGCAATAAAATTACTTTGTGGAGCTTCCTGGATTCCTTGTGATTCGTTGAAGTCATGACTGCATTGTAGACTTGAAAAACGCATTGGACTCGCAAACACGTCACAACAACAACACAAAGTAATGTATGATGCGTCCAGATGAATTCACGCTTCACGATAATTCTGTGGGTATATAATCATGCCCCAAACTTATTCAATTCCAGGAAGTTGAATTAACCATATGTATCGTAAAAGGAAAACACTAAACGTTTAAAATGAACTAATAGTTTAATGTGACAAGTTTATCAAACGTTTAACCTGCAGAATCTTATTCAATGTCGGCAAGTAAGAACCCCCAACTCACCGATTGCCCCCATTTTACAAATGATTTTGTCCTTTATTGGTCAAGTCCTTGAAGCGGTAACCTTTAGTTAAAGAGTTTCAGTTGAGCAAAGCCTCGATCAGACGATGCCTGCAACCACCTTTGCGTGTGTTTAACCCAGGTGTCTTAGTGCCATCTATTTGAGACTACCTAGTGAACAGTTATATTGGTCGTATCTAGTCATAATATATGAATAATATTGAAAGCACTGAAATTCTTTCCTGAAACGAGCCTTGTGTGGGTGTTGGTCATGACTCAACTGTTCGTAATTGTATTCAGCATAACCATTGACGAAACGGGAATTGGGTCAATCAAAATGGCGTTTTGGTTTGAAGGAAGGCCCAGCTAGCTGGTAAAAAACAACATTTCAACGTTTGAAAGGAGAAGTTAGAAAGAGTTAGAGCAAACCTTGAACATGATCAACGGTTTTGGCGTCGACACGCATCATAAGTTATTGCTTGTTTACACATGCATGTGACAGGGGAACCAGTCAGGGGTAGAAAAAGCCAGTGGTTTGGAAACAAGAACAAAATACTAGGGATGTCAGATTGCGTGAGGTTCAGTTCATGGAGCACAACCAGTATGGGAAAATTGTTCGGATTTCACTGCGTCACAAGTGTTCATTACAAGATAGATCTTGTCCATGATACAGGACCAAATCCGATGTTATCGTGCATCGGGAGACAACCTAAATTGAAGTCGTGCCAAGGAAACAATCAATTGAACGGAATGACCTGGAGCCATAGTTTCATGGTCTAAGATAAGCGGAGCATAGAAGTCGTTTATTTTAATTCTGACACTCCGACACGGATGCCAATTTCCCCTCATAAATTATATACTTTGATTTAAAAAAATAAACTAGACTAGGAGTTAGTAAAATAACTGATCGATACTAAATAAATCCCTTGGATTCAGGTTTGTAAACTATCCCCAACAACTAGTAGTCGGCTTTCAGTCAACCATAATGCTGCGACGTTTAATTGGCTGCCGTCTGTAGCCAAATCGATCAACCAATTGGGCTCTTTTTAAAAACTGCTCAGCTAAAACATACAATCTTCAAGAAAGGTCTTACGCGAACTCCACATGTCGTAAAGCCTCACCGCCCATCAGATCGCGTGAGAAGGAGGCATTAGGTTGAACTTTGGTGGAATAAGATGCAAAGTATCCGGCTGGGACTTATCTTTTGTCGGTGGAAACGATTATTTCGAGGTTGCAAGGTTCCAATGTGAAAAAAAATGCATTCCAACACTGATTTCATTACCAACGAGTAGCTTTAGACATCACATTTATTTATTTTTAATTTGCCCATACTTGATGCAGTCAGACTTCGAATTTCTTATTCAAAACTTGGTCAAATCATTGTTTACAGGTATGTGTTGTTTCTCTGTCCTAGCACCAACCAGAAGCATTTCATCTCGCATAACACTGCTACATTTTAGATAACTCAGATCCGTTTTTGCTAGTAAATAATCACGGGCATTTGTCACAAAGATCAGGGATCAGTGGTTGCGGTGTAGCAATGCTGAGGGTTAGCGGGGATCAGAAGAGGGAACACGGGGGGACGTGGTCACTGAGACCCTGTGGACCGCACAGCCAGACTAACCACTGTAGTAAAGAATAATCATTGAGTCAGGCTATATGTAAAACTAACTGAACAATAAACTGGAAACTCGGAAAAGGGATAATCACTAAATTTCACTTATATTTGGACATTTCACGGTTGGGCTGCACAATATGATGGCCGAAAAAATTTCAATCACCATGCCTTGGTGTTCATGGACATCAACTTAAGTAGACATCTCGTGTTGACATCCTTAAATTCAATGTTTACGATCGCAGGTTATGGGCTTTGCATAATTGTCATTTGGATAGAGTAAGTGGATCGGAATGGTCAATGGTAGATTTGTTCTGCATATTTACCACAATATTGATGACCTAGGCAATTAGCAGAAGACATATTTGCTTCAAGGTATCGTTCCCTTAAATGGACGCCAGATGAACAAAAGCCTTCCTTTCAGCATAATAGGGGTTTAAGAAGTATTCAGTTGGCTGAGGGCGATTTGCCAGCATAACTGATTAACTTAAATTTGAGGAAAAACATCTTAGAATCAAAAATCTGCTCCAGTGAATCAGTAAATGCCAAATTTTAGATCTCGACTATTCAGATTTTCCTCAATTTTTCGATTCTCCTCACATCAATCCAAGCAGAATACTGCGATGCAGTTAAAATGGTTGGACATTTCACGGATTGACATTCTGTACAAGTTCAATGCCCTCAATTATGTAGCAAATAGTGTGCATATTTTAAAATAGTACTGACCTTAAATCCCTCTATAAATATGAGAAATGCTTAAATTGGAAAGTTTTCGTTAATATGCTTTAATGTTAACTCTTGGGGAGAAACAAAAATTAACTATTGGTATGGGGAAGCGGGCTGTTCAGCTTTTAGTCCATTCTGACGACTTTTGCGAGTTGTATTCCATTCAACTTATGCAGGCTCTCAGGCGTAAGTTAACTTACTTCTGTCATCAACCAGTAGATTAGTTTATCAATTACTTAAAAGTGAAAAGTAATACATAGACGTCATTCGTGATTCCCCATGTATAATTTTTGAGCAAAGAAGTCCGGTGGGTAATTAATAACTGGGATAAAATTTGCTGCCTCCTTCTTTCCACATATGTAAATCTCGGCCACTGCTTCTAAATGGCTCCTGGCAATGAGCACAACAACTTATCTCTCTTAAATATTACTGTTTTGCGTGATAAAACTTTGGATGAACCAACTTCTGGCTTGAGTTATTGGGTGCAGAAAGCGGCGAGAGAGCTTCTGAGTGGGGCGAAGCCTTTCTGCTGTTTCATTGTTCGCTTCTCTCACACGCGAAAGAATGCTGGGCTGGGTGAAGAACGGGTGATGGATGGACACACACGTGCACACACAGAGAGAGAACTCAGCACTATCACGGCTCACTAAGCGATTAGATATGCTGCAAATGTAGCGCTGGTCTAGCCCCACCTTACTAGCCTGTCCGCCTTCATTCAATCGGGAGACTTGGCTTAAATTTGTTACTTTTAGTCGTTAGCAGCTGGTTTTCTTGTGTTTTATACTCATTTTACGGAAAAAAAGGAAATCAGTAACCTTCAGTGGAATTTAGGAAGCCCTTAGACAGGGATGCACAATTCGAAAATAAGTCGCTGTAATCCTTTGAGGTAACTTGGGCCGCGTCACCATCTCAGAAAAGCGTCACATGTGATGCTAAGGAAGACAGTTCCCAAACGCATGGGACAGAGTCGCTCGCTCGCTCACGATTAAGTCACCGAATGAAGTGGGTGGAGCGTTCTCACGCCCAGGAACGCTTAGTTTTGGGCAAAGTGAATCCCGATACGGGTGCAAACAGGACTCAAGTACAACGAGTACTTCCCTGCTGGGAACGGCTTCCATCACGCGGAAATCAACCTCCCAATTCTGTCGAATTAAAAATGCGAGAACCCACAACAGTTGAAGCTGCTCCTAAGTATAAGCGAAATTTGCTTGAAACCTCAGGTTCCATCCTTCAGTTGTTTTGGAAACCGATGTGAACACAGCATCTGCGCTTTTGAGTAATGATGAACAAAAAGCACGGATCTTCTAATGGAGTTTAAGACGTTGAGTAGTACACAATTACCGCCCAAAATTGGGTGGTACTTTCAGGTTCCCCAGGCTTCACTATCCAATAAGAGCAGAGGTCAACGCGAATAACGCACACAGCAGATGAGCACGCTGACGGCAAGCATCCTCTCCTGCCCGGTGTACAGGAGTGAAAATGCAACTTATTAAGTTCTGAAACAAGAGATTTCTCAAGAGATAAATCCGATAAGCAGGACTTTAGACCTACCCACTAATACCTACTCCAACACATTGGACGTTTTCCGGTTACTTATTAAGTAATAAGTAGATAATTTAGATTGATAGTTGTCCGAAAAAGTGAACTACTAACTATTCAAGCACTTGCGAGAGAAAGCAACTTAATAATATGGCACTTTCAATCTTACTGCTGCCATTACACTAACCATCAGAGGTGGAATATGATGTTACATGGTAAGTACAAGGCATAGATTGGTCTCTTACGAAGTAACATCAAGTTTTACTGGGTTGGTTGTGAACCTGAGCCATGTGCCGGAGCATATTGCTGCGTTGGAAGAAGGCGGCCGAACAGACTCGACACCGAAACTGCCGCCTGGATTCTTCGTGGGTTTTTTGATGAAGTCGAAGACTCCCACTCTGCGAAAACCTCGCCCCGCACAAATTGCACCCGAACGGCGTCTCCCCGGTGTGCATCCTCTCGTGCCGCCTGAGGTCCGTGCTGCGCGGAAACACCTTACCGCACGTGGAACACACATGACTCCCTCGTTTCTGAGCATTCGAAGGCACCTCTGTTGCTTTTTTTTCCAGCTGGTGGAGAGTTCTTGGAGACACAGCCTTGGATGCACAATGGTGATTCAAAAAGGCCTTGTTCGTCGGAAAACTTTGCAGGCATTGCTTGCACTGAAAGTAGCTCGTGTAACACGACGGGTACGTGGTTTCACTATCAAGTTTAACATACTTCTGTGCAGAGGTAAGAGAAGGGGGAGGAGGAGGAGGAGGAGGAGGTGGTGGTGGAGTGCGACTTGCATTGTCAGAAGCTAGGAGTTCCTTAAAACCGGTCAGTTGCTGGAAGTCAGTTAAGTAGTGGTTCAAGTCGAAATGTGATCCAGACGGTGTAGCATCGAGATCTGTGTCGGGAAGAAAGAGGGAACTGGGCTGGAGAAGTGGGGCCTGGCTTGGCTTTTTTGCGCACACCGCGAGATGTCGCTTCCGCTGCACAGGCGTGCGGAAGGAGAGGGAGCAGTGCGAACAGGCGTACTTTTTGGTGCCCGTGTGGATCCGCATGTGGGAGTGGAGACTGCCGGTGCTGGAGCAAGTGGTCCCACACAGGTGGCACGTAAACGACGGAGCGGGTCGCGAAGACGAGGCGAGGAACTTTCGTGTCCGAGGCCGCCCCGACAGGAAGGCCGCGGCCCACGACGCGCCCGCCTCGCCGTGAGCGCGCGTCGCGTGGGCCAGCAGGCGCCGGGGCAGGATGAAGCGACGGTTGCAGAACTTGCAGCCGTACGGGCGAACACCGGTGTGAAGGAACATGTGGCGGTGCAGGTCAGAACTGCGCTGGAAACGGAAGGAGCACACGGTGCAGACGTGTGGACGCTCCTTGGATGAAGAGCCACCCTCTGTTGCTTGAGTTTTGTCGACTGGATAGCTCCGGGAGTCACGCTCACATGCTGCCTGTTAAGGATAATAAAAAAAGACATGCTGCACATGACAGGTAACTCAAAACCTACGTGAAAAGACACGTGTCTACGCATGGAAAAGATGATGTGCAATTATGCAGGAGCCTTATTCGCACTACATGCCAGAAAATCCAGTTGAAAGTGAAACACTCCGCCTCGAGCTACCATTTCACTCACCATACAAACGTGTGACAAAAAAACTCACCCCGGTCCTTGCTGTGTCTTTGCTTTTGAGATAATCTAACTCACCAGGGTAATGGACAGACAATCGCGACCCATACACCGCGTTAACAACTCCTCACAAAACCACTTGGAGGTAGTATGCATGCATGTTTTTATTCTCGCCTGATTTCTTAGCCGTAATATCGTCCCAAGAATAGGCTTGTCTACATTATTAATGGACAGCGTCACAGGTGCAAAAATCGCGTGACTAGAAATGGGTACACAGCCAATTCTGGCATTCCATTCGCATAAATTGGTTGAGTATTTACTGGCAACTTTATGCTCCTTTTTGGTATCGCTAGCATGCTGTGATAAACTAATACGCCCACAGTCAAGAACCAGAAATCTTTGCTTGATTGTGAAGTCATGGTACAGCAGTTTGAGATCCATCTAAATAAGTTCTCTAAAGTTACGCTCGGGGGCGAAAGTCAGCCTACCCACCTATGGAAGGGGACTACTGCGATGTGAAGTAGATACTCACATATGCAACTGAACTTTGAAATATGCGGTAGTTGACGAAACCCGAAGTCATTCGTGTAGGTTCATAATTTACAGTTTCAAAATAAGCAATGTCTAACCTCATACAGTAGACGCTCTGAAAGGCTTGCATCAGCTCCAGGCCGACTTTGAACCACTTTTTGCAATTGCTCAGCAGGAAGTTGAAAATGAATTTTCTTAGGTTGAGGGGGACGCCTCGTTCGAATTTGCGGTCCTGCGGATTCAACATTCACAACCTCCTCCACTGGATGATTATACGCGCTAGTCAACTCAAGAACATGAGCTTCCAACTGATCGATTTCCCCAAAGACTAAATTGCAGTGGGTACAATAGAACCTGCCGCAAGAAAGGGCGGCATCATCAACCAAGGTCTCGATCTCATGGCATGCGCTTTGTCCACAAGCAGTGCAGGGACTCACATCAGTGAGGTCCATTTTACTCATTCCACAAGTTAAGCAAACAAGGTATCTAGTAGGAGTAGCATGGGATAAGGAATGGTTTGACAAAGCCAAACTATTATCAAATCGAGCAGAACATTGGCAGCAGCCGTAGAATTCCGAAATGATGATTTGCCCATCATTGTAACCTTCCTGGATCACTTGGGGATTCTCCGTGGCTATGGTCACTTCCGCATTGAAATCTAGTGTGGGATTGACATCCTGAGGAAACTCTGAAGTCTGATAATCTGCCTCGAAGGTTTGTGCATCTACAAAGCCCACAGGGTCACTGTAAAAGACGTTTTGGCTGTAGCCATCAAGGCTTTCTAAAGCAGTACCCTGAGGGAGAAGGAACATATCACCTGGAGGAAGTCCTTGTTCTAACACTAGCTGATGATCAGCTGATAGAATCTGCGTGTTGGACAATTGCTCGTGCCCCGACTCGGAAGGAAGAACGATGATGGAAGGCTGAATGGCCTCAGGGTTGTGAGAATCAGACTCAGCTAACCAGACGAATTCCTGACCCAATTGTTCAGTAAAGGTGGCAGCCGGCACCTCAGTGGTCTCTGGAAGTTGAACTATTTCTACTGGAATATTTTGACAAGCGGGCTCTTCAGATGTGAGATCTAATTTTAAACTGATCCGACGTTGCAAGCAGAGAGGCATGTCATAGCGAAGAATAACACGCAGCCTCAGCTTTTTGAGGCCATGTTTTTGTCTCATATGCCGTTTACACAAAGCTCCACTGGTAAATCGACGACCACACTTCTTGCAAAGAAATGTATCAACTAAGAAGTGGGCTACGAAGTGTAACTTGGCACAGCCCTTGGTTGTGAAAATCCTCGAACACCATGGGCACGAAGAAACCGGTTGCTTGCTATCTAGGAGCGCCGCAAGACTAGAAAGTTGACCCAGGCGACGCTTTCGGCGGATGTTGTGGTTTTTTTGATGACACAAAAATGCGCGTTTACTGCTAAGTTTTAACCCACAATGCGAACAACAAGAACACCTGTCACCAGATAGAACCGAAACCGGAAGGCGTTTCCGTAAATTATCTGCCATTCCCTGTTCTAAGAAAGAAAAAAGGCGAGGGTGACTTCCATACTTGTATCTATCTGAATACAATTTCAAGCGCCTGGACTTGAGCTTTTTTTCAATTTTCAATGCATAAGAATCCGAAGAACCATTCCTCGTGAAATGTAATAACTGGTGACAGCTGAGAGTTGAAAGACTAGAAAATGTCATAAAACAATAGCGGCATGCGAAGCGGCGGCTCGCAAAACTAGTAAACATACACAAAAAAATAAGAATGGTAGAGAGCAGGGAGGCCGACAGTGATTTGTAGGCTATCATAAATGAGTGGCTCGCAGGCGAGCGCTGGTCAGGGCACGCCACCTTTTTCGACTTATTATGATATCTTGAAACATGAACGTCGAGATTTTGTTTGAATGTAAACCTGCGTTGACAAAAAGGGCACGAAAGCTTTTTCGCGGCGTTATGAACTGCCATGTGAGTCTCTACCGATCCTTTTTGAGTAAAAGACTTGGAACAAACAGGACAAGAGAAGGGTTTAAACCCAAAATGAACCAATACATGAGCTTTAGCTGTAGTTATGGAGGCAAGCTTCTTGTTGCACACGTTACAAAGAAATACATGCTTGTTCTTTGACTGGGTAATTTTCTTTATATGTTGGGAGTAATCAAACTGATCAAAAAGAACGGACGGCGCAGGACTTAATGTTCGTGAGTTGTGACGTTTTCTATGTTTAGAAGAAGTGATTATCTTCCTAATGAAATTTGTGGCCTGAGACTTGCAGCTGCGGTCGCGAGTCTGCTGGTTAGACGCCTTTTCGGAGTTCGGAGTCTCATTAAAATCCGAAACTTCAGAGCCAACATCGTGCTTTTTAGGGTGCTTTTGTCTGTAATGCATTCGAAGTTGGGTGAGCGATGAATGATTTGCCCCACATAGGCGACAGCGGTATTGGTTTGACGATACTGGAACAGTGAGTTCCTCGATCTTATTATAAGACTCAGCATCAGGAATGCGGACTTGGCAGCGAGAACAAATTTGATCAGTTCCAACAAGATGGAGAGACAAATGTCCTTTGAATGCAGACGCCCTTGAGAATTTTTTTCCACAGATGTGACACGATAGATCCTTAAGCAATTCTGGTGTCGAATGATTGAGAAGTCTATGCAAAACAAGCTGGCACTCACAGCTAGTAGATATGCTACATTCTGAGCATTGGAAATTTGCGATGGTTTCAGGCAAAACGGGAGGGATTTTTATGTTTTCCGAAGCATAGACGGTACGTGCATCAACAACACTGTTAGATGGAACGGTCTCTAACTCTGAGACCCAAGTGTTTTTACTATATTCGGTTGACGGAATTTCTCCAGGGATGGCATTTAAATAAATTATCTCTTTTAAAACGGGCACATTTTCTTGATTCGAGACCTCATAACTTTGACAGGCCTCGTGCCCAAATTGTCCGGCATTGTTGCTTGAATATCCGACCGACTCTGGAAAGCTTTCAAAGTCATCAAGAGAATAAAGTGAGGCATCAACATGAGTGGTAGGAGGAAGATTGACTGGCATATCGTTAGATTGAGCACTTCCATACGAATCAAATGATGAACCAGCAGCTAGGGAGGGTTTAAACATCCTTTAAGTGCACGATACAAAAAGAAATAAGAACTAGAAATAATTCTAACACAGAAAAGTTGCATTCTGAGTGGTCATTGGTCGCATTAGTAGGTCATAATTAGCGATTTTCGCATATCACATTTTAACAAACGTTTCCATCACAAATTTATCGCTAAATAGCAGCCATTAACACTTTAAAACGCTATTTCTTTACATAGGTCCGAAATACTCTGAAGACGAAAATATTTGATCAAACTACCTATGTTCAATCGAATTTTGTCTCAGAAATACACCGTAAATTTCAGTATAAACCTTTTAAAAAGGGTGAGTTACAATGTTAAAAGACAATATACAACGTAAATTCTAAAAGAGTTCTCTCGTAAAATGTCTACTTTTTGTGTGAAATGCAATAACTTTAAGGCAAAATAATAAATGAATTTTTACATGCGTTTTTTTATTTTGGTGATGCTAAGGTGAAATATATAATAATAAACACTAAATACAATTTAGCGCATACTACTTTGCAATACCTAGATTTTCACACACATTTTTTTAAGAGTAGACGGAATATTTTTGGCTTCTTAGATTACGAACTGGCACTGCCGCACATATGGTTCTAGGTTTTTTAACTGTCATCAGGAGTTTGAATTCATCGATGAGAAAAACTGCTTTCTAGTAATTTGAATTTCGATAAACATTCTGACCATTATTTTTTTGTTCAGTTTTTGCCCATTTAAATTGACAAAGTCCAAAATAGTAAACCAAAAAATTCATTTTGTTAATGGTAACCTAAAAGTTGAGAATTTAACATTAGCTAAAATATTATTGCTGTCTTATAAAAGCTTTTTGTGTGACATTGAAATAGGATTATCTACTACTAGAACACGATGCAATCGTCAACTAGATAGTTGAACGCTTTGGCAATATGAATGTCAAATTGTTTTATTGGAAATTTCTGTATGTTGCAACTCATCGCATATCACTAGCCTGGACAAAATTAGTTTCCAAACATTAAATATAGTTTGCTAAATGTTGTGTCAGCGATGGCTTGGGAATTCTTGTACTTAAATTAGACTTATTTGATTTTGATTTTAATTAAGAATGGGGGAGCTGGGAAATTCCAAATTTCATGAATAATATACTCTCTAACTTTTTAAATGTAATGTTACTCCTTACGCCAGATTTCTGAAACATTCTTGAAGTTTGATGGAGGCTCTTTCTCTCACCGAAACAGATTAATAGCCAAATTTCGTTTATTCCATGACTACGATGTCGTACTTTTGTAATAGAAGATCTTATTGTGTAATGATAAGAAATAAGGCATACTTCTTAAATGTTGCGGAATTAGTTTTCAGGAATGTTTAAAGTTCCCGAATTCTTCTCCTGTTTTTTTGAAATGGTTGCCCTCGCAGAAGCGATGGGCCTTCGTCCCTGCTTCGTGGTTCTACGTGACGAGTAGGGCTTTTAGTTTATTATTTTTTTTAAGTGATATCATAAAATTTGAAATTCAGCAGAAGAAATCTTCTTTCCTTGCCGGGGTCGACCTCCATGATTCACACCTACCAAATACATCACGTAATTTTAAACAAAGAAGGCGTCGTCATCCGTCTGAAGTTGTCCCAAGTCATTCGCGTACCTTAAGGCGAAATCGGATCCTTCAAGCATTTTATAAGCGTTCTGTGCGCTTAGCACAAAGGGGATTTCTTCGTTGCAAACGTAGTGTGCGTTACAGTGTGTACTTCAAATTGCGTCGTCACTTGGTCGAAAATCTCCGCGCCGGTTTAATCACAAAAATTTCACGCAATGAATGCTTTGTTTTACTAACGCCCCTGGAGCTTTCGAATTCTGTTTATGCTCAATCGTTGGACTCTACGGCCAACTCACGACATCGGCCTGCCTCTTCACGATCCATAGCACCATCAGCTTCCATCGAATCCGTATCTGCGCAATTTCTGGCTGGAAGAAACCTTAGAATTTCTCTCCCTCCACTTCCAATTCATATTTTGGATCAGAGACCGGCTTCTGCGTCCTTTATGCACGGTCGAACGTTTGAGTGCGTAACAAAGCCTCTTAAAGTAATTTTCTGACTATTATTCCTGCTTTGGTTTTGTTCTTTTAGTGCCTCAAAATTAGACCAGGACCGCAGCCGTTAATAATTAGGCGTTCCCGTTTTCCATAACCACAGACTTCTTGCTACCGGTAAATTCTTTTGACAGCTTTTTTTGAGCGAATCTGTTGCTCTCGTTTTATTTACACTCCTCTCCGTCCGCCATTAATGAATGATTGGTCTCCAATCTTGTAGTTTTTCTGTATTAGTGGTATTTCAAAGTTTATGTCAATGAATACAGACTTAATTCTCTCCTATTTGTAGGCGCATGTTTGGTGCGGTTTTCGCTGGTCAAATTTTTTCTTAGGTGCCCTCATACTGACATTTGTTTCTGGTCGTCTGTTGTTCGAACCATAAGAAAGGTTTATCTATGTTTCCTCATCAACATTATCGCTTTCCTTTTTAGGAACGCTTGGACACTTTTCCATCGCACACTTTTTTATTCAGCATTTACTCATATATCCACTTCTGGGACACCATTATTAATTGTGTAATGTTAAAGTTTTAAACAATAAAGTTTACTTTTTCGTGGCTGTTGTCTGGTTTGACTTGCACTGATTGCAATTATATTGCTACATGTCACCACTGAACTCTCAAAGATTTATGTAGTACGGTTAAATCGTAAGTACTGCTTCTATGGTCATTATTGCTAATGAGCTGGAGTAGGTCGCCACATCCAGCCTCCTTGACGTAGGTCTGGAGTTATTTGTTGCTTAACCAAATCTCGATTTCCTGGCATTGAAATGTGCTCTTATCTGGCAACTGGTGTCTGTCGAGGAAATGCTACTGAATGTGGGTTTCCGATGTCCGTCTTTGTGGTCTGCATTGTGGTTTTAACCCAGCTGATACGCAGATTTTGACGGGTCGTGGTGTCTTGACTGTCCAGCTTCAGGGTTACTTATTGCTAAGTCTCACTGAAATGTTAACTAATGCATCTAGGATCCGCACTTCCACAGCAGGTTAGTGCAAAAGCCGTGTCCGTTAATACGATTTTTCTTTTAATTAAAGGAAGCTATTGTTGTAAAAATGTCTATTCTTAGACGTAACCTCCCTTTAAAGGCGTGTAAATTAGTTAATGTGAAATCCGATATTATAAGAGACAAAATTCTACTAGAAGCTACCTAAACGTCTGTAATCAGTGCGAGCAAAAAGCCTTCTGATGCTTGGTGTAAAATAAGTGGGCACTCTAGCAATGATGGGTTACATGTTTGGTGTCAGTTCATTACTGCTCTCTTCGAAATATGCCGAAATTTGCTGCCTGTTTTTGATTTATAAACTAGAGATATTTCGCTTCTGGGTGATACTGTTAGGGCTTTCCATTTCACTTTCTACTGAAACGTTTTAAGTAAAAGGTTTTATGCAGTTTTTAATTTTCGCAGATGGTGCAGCAATTCATGGCTTATTTTCAATCTGGTCCTTACAATGAACCGTGCGGATTCAAGTCCATTAACCCGGTCACACATCATAACCAAGCCAGAAAATCTAACAAGTGGTCGAGTTCCTCTCATTCCGTTTTATTTTTCTCCTAGGCATTTCGTGCGGCATTTCAACCAACTAAGATTAACGGATTCTCACCTGTCTCTACTAGCTTGCTGTTATCGTCTCTTTGTACTCATGCCCTTTTTGAAGCCGATTGGTTTCTGCAATATGTGGTAGCATAGTTGTTCAGAGGACTGTTTGAAATCAGCAATTGTATATACGTTGTTATTGTGCTCGTGCGTGGGGGTGTTTGTGTTGTACGCCTAGTGGCTTAATAGTATCAGTAGAATTTCTTGGACTGATGATGCTATAATGAGCCTATTTCGGTTGGGCTTTTGACTTAAATTATTCCCATCTTTTTTCATCTTACATTGTTAGTGTAGTTAGTCACGAATAACAAACTCATTGATCCCACAAGTCTAGCAAAACATGTGCACTTCCTTGAACTGTTTATGGCCTTATATGAATCGCACCCGATGTTCACTTACGCACTACACGTTGGATATTTCTAAGTCCACGAAAAGCTGTGCTGCCAAATTTCCTGGCACTAGCAACGAGGGAACAGCTTCGCAATATTGTGGCCTGTCCCGTCCGATGAGTTGCTCCCTCCTCCTCCTCCCCTAGCCACTATTTTTGCATCCATAGTAAGTAGTCGCCTTCCCATTGCCAATGCTTTTAACCTTCTTTCAGTTCGACGCCAGTAGGTTAAATCTCCACTAAAGCTAAGGTTCTGGGGTTGAATCAATGAAAGTGTAAATAAGACAGTAAGATGCAGTGGCACAACTCTTCAATTTAGTAATAACTAAACTTCCTTGTTTCTTCTCTCGAAAATGCGAAACTTTTATTACACATAAGGGACTTTCAGTCTCAGTTCACAAGTTTTCCGAAAAAAGCGGGACGCAGAATTCCTCGAAACATAGGTACCTCCTCTAGCCGACCATAACTCTTTAGTGATAGTTTGTGGGTGACGCAGAAGCGTTTGATTGTGTGGTGCCCGCAGGTGATCTGCCACCTCCAATAGCGTAACGAGCCTGCATGTGATTCCCAGTTAGTGTTTGCGAGGCGGCAGAACCTCCGGCGCCCCCAGACAGCCGCTCAAGTTGGGCCTCGGCTAGTTGGATGAGACGCGAAAAGAAGAGATTCATTACAGCCAGCCCAACGATAATGTACAGCAACGAGAAGACGTTCAGGAATACGTCTGAGGTGGGAACAAGGTCGCCCAGACCGATGGAAGTTATACTTGTGAACGAGAAGTAGACGGCGTCCAAAGGGCTCCATTCGTCTGCTGTCTCCACGATTCCCCAGCAGTAGACAACACCACTGAACGCCGCGTACAGTGCAAGCAGTCCAGAACTTGTCATAAGCTAAAAGCAAGAGGACAAGAGTCCAGTGGTTAAAACCAGACCTCACCGCGACAGTTTCTTTCGGCTTTTTTTTCAATTTCACTTAATAAACTTTTAACTGCACACTGCCCCATTTCGCTTGTCGCATTTCTCATGCTCGTGCGTTCTCGATCAATAGGCAGAAGTCGGTTGGTTTTTTTCTTTCTGCACCCATGAAGCAGGATGTCGTTGTGAATCATGATGCTCCGTGTCCATAAATTCAAACACTTTGATGTGGGTATGCGGCGTCCCAATCGCTCATTAGGACATGTCTGATTATGCACCCCTGTAAATCTTATTTTTCTGAAGCCAGTTCGTTTGCTAGTTCACCCGATTTCTGTAGGATGGCTGCCTCTTTCATTCATGCCTCTACTATCCATGGCTGTCTGAGGGACACACAAAATATGTTGGGGTCGAGGTGATTGAGTCCCTCCCTCTTTTCTCTCAGTGCTTTGTGTCGCAAGTCACATTGGTGTGGTGCAAACTCAAGAACGGACATCGCGTTTATGCCTCGCAGTAGCGCAACCAAGGCAAGACTACCATCCCTCTAAATGCGACTAACCGTTACAATTATGGCAGTGAAGTAAAGTGGATCTGGTATATTAAATGTATTCAGTCCCTTCGTTAACCCTAAAGCAAATTACGTTGTACATGACGGTTTTTTTTTATTCTTTTGAAGGGAAAATTTGTATTTATCACCCAAACTATTCGCCGATCTTTCAATTGGTCATTATTTTGGACTAGGATTGGCTACGGACTGCGTCAGCATTAATTTGATAACCAAATGACATAGTTTGTTCAAATCTAGACTCGCCAACTAGGAAGCCATATTCATTATATAAAAATAAATCTTATAAATGTTGTCGTTCGTAAGAGCATGCGACTTGGGGATCAACACGTGACAGACCATGCATTCGGACGAGAATATACCAGGCTTTTTAGTAAAAAAAGCGTTAACCTGTGTGCATTCTGAAATAATGTTTGGGATAGCCATTAGTGTTCGTTCTGCACCATGATCATTTTAAATGTTCACATTGCTTAAAGTGCACAAGTTTGAAGGTAATGGGGACCATTAAGTAATGGAAAATCAATGACAAGCTACATTATATTTCGTATGAAACTTATGTTCTGCTCTGTGATAATAAAGTGAACTTTTTTGAACCACTCAAGCTCATGCTTTTGAGTGCATGTTTCGGTGTGGCTAAGTTGAGCAGGGTTTGGCAAGGTGCTAAAAAATCCCAACTTCACTCCACTCTGTCCCAACTTCACTAGGTGGACAGCGTGCCTTTGTTTGGTCATCTGTGCTAGCTTATTCCTTTTTTACCACGACAATTTCGGTTAGAGTTGATAAGTAAAGCCCAATTTTCGAAGCAACTGATAAACTATTTGAGAAATGGTTTCGTTTTCACTAAAGCAATGGATCCAACACGTAAATACTATCCGCAAAGTTGTATTCGGTCATAAGTGTCATATTATTAACAGTTTCGTAAATTCCTTCAAACCAGAACTGCAAAATTTCTATGTGTTTTGCCTGTTTTATATGAAGATAAATGACTGGACCTCTTAGTTCTTGTTATATTATTTTTATTATTATAATTCACTTCTGTGGTGGAAAGTCTGGCATTGTTATCGTCGAGGTGTTCTTTTCCAACAATTTTTAGCACTTTTCAGGAATTAACTAATCTACAGCTTCGGATCCATGCATGAGTTAGTTTTGTAGCTTTTTAATGCGAAGAAGGCGTTTTTTACTTGGTAACATGCTTAAAATCCAGCGCTATGACTCACTGATCACAATTTTCTATTCAAACAACGCCTTGGACGCACATTTATGTGAATGATTATACCTGCTTCCGTAGATATCGTATTTAACAATGCAATTTTCCATTTCAACAAAAAGAGTGCTAAGTTATGCATCAATCTAGTACCTATCGCTGTTAGGGTCCTGTGCTTACCTGCTTTGAGTTTAATTTATGAAATCAGACAGTTTGTGTAGTTCGCTTACAAGGTGCGAAAACATCAACAAAATTGTTTTGACCACGCTTTCATGCCCCTTTCCCTCATTTCTGACTTGTTTTTCTTGTAGCCTTGATTGGGAAACACTGGCAGGGCACCACAAAATAAACAAGGCCACTGATATCCAATAATTTATAGCCCTATTTTCGGACTTGAGACGGCCAGCGATAGGTTCGTTATTGCGCGGCACAGGTTGGTTTTCCCACCGTGTGCCTGTTTTGTTCTGAAATAAATGCGATATTTTCCAACAATATGCAAACCTTTCGAGCCTTTTATTACATAATTGAAGCCATCTGCAACAAATCCCTTACTTGGGCTTCCGATCCCACCTGAAGGCTATGAAATATAAGCTTATTTTTTTAGTCAGGTAATGGGTCACCTCGTTCTAAGTACAGGATTATTTAGAAAGTAAACTTATCTGAGAATCAAAGGTTAGTCTTGAAGACCAAGCTGTTCCTTTTTTTATTTTAGTCAAAAGCGCAAATTATAGTTAAATCTTATCTTGAGCCATTTTTAGACTAATAATGTATTAAATAGCTAGATATTTAACAGGATTGATTCAACTGATGAGAAAGAAAACGGTTGAACAATCGCACATTCGCGACTCACCGAAAAGTCGAAATCGGTCCCTGCTCGGTTGTAGGCATCGCGCAGACCAACAGGGATTCCGCTGGTGTCGAGAGTCATGAGGTAGATTGCCTTGAGGATCCTCGCTATCTCTTTGGAGAGCCTTGAAATCACCATTGAACAGAGGGGAATGGCTATTATGCCGTAACAAATGGTTACAATTCTCCCAGTCGTGGTGCTAGGAAACACATTGCCATAACCTGCAAAATGCAACATATGATAAGGGGCTCCTTGTTCAGACAGAACCTGTATCCATGGCAATCCCCTAGCTAAAGTCCATGTACAAACCTAAAAACAGACTTCCTAAAATGAGCATATTTTTTTCCGAAGGTATTTCCTCCATGTTGGGGATCCGGCATTCCCATTACGACTCATCGTGAGTTAGGATTTCGTTATTGTTTACACGAGTCCCCTAACCACGCAACTTCAGTGGGTGAGTCACCACGGCACCCTGCTGACAGCTGATCTGTGTTAATCCGCATTGATCCGTCACCTCAGGGTCATCCTTGACATTCCGACGGATCACTCGGCCTTTAGCCGTGACATTAAAAGCTCCCAGCACAGTCTTGCCTTGTCTTACTCCAACGTGGGGAGGTGGGGTCTAGCGTCAGGCAAGAGATCAAGGGTACCGGTTATCCGAGTGTGTGGTTCTGATTGCGGGCAAAACGTAACACTGTAAATTTTCGATAGATCATGCAAGTCAGAGTTAAACGGACCGTCCGCACAGGCTTGTGCTTAAGTGCACTAGCGGGCATTTGGACGACGGAGCGACTGTATGATTATTTCGAAACTGTCATTAGACAGGGCAGTGTACGTGAACACATGTAATCCGTGCCAAATGGACTGACTTTCGTGTTTGAAATTCACGGGAAAATGTCTCTACTTTTGGTAGAAATCTGTGCATAATCAATTGTAGAGATGAATTATCGACTAACAAATGATTACTTGTTTTCATTGTAAAACTGTGTTGAAAGCCGATCAAAAATTAACCGCAGCCGATATCCAATAATTTTATCAAACATTGAAAAATGCACAGTAGGCGATTAGATTTCGAAGTTTTGATGTAACAAGTTCTTGCGAAATTTCTCCAAAACCTGAACAACTATAGTGTGTTGGTCACTTTTTAAATACTCAGATTGCTAAAGCTACTTATTGTCAAAGTCAGCCAATCTCCATAAGATGGTCGTTACAAGAACTTGGCGTTCCCCAAAGGGCATTTGTAAAATTGTTGCACAATGCATACTTGAGACCTTTTCATCCATGCTTGCCCCACTCATTGGATGATGATCAAGTTCCTTACAAGACGTCTCCCAAATCTTTCAGCAGTTATGCCGGGAGGATGTCACTTTACCTGGTTTTGAGTGGTGCAAAACTTAGTCTGCACTGAGAAGCTAAGCTTCATTCACCAACTTACCACAAGGCCAAAGATTTCTTGCGCACGAATCACAGAACACGTGCATCAGTTTAAGGCCTGCTCTGTTCCTTATAGAACTTAACAAATTGAGGATCTTGGTTGACATTTCGAGCATTTACGTATGCTGCATGACCTCAATGACTTCTGTTTTACGCTCATTTGATTCAGTAATGCATAATCTGAACAGCCATAAATCTCAATTTTCTCACAAAGAACTTTGGGTTACACAGCTACTTATGACACCCTGTATAGATTGCGATAATTCGTGTCCGCTCTAAAATCTATTTAAATGCAGTACATTTATGGAAACTGATATTTCTTTAATCAGTTGTGTTCCTTGTGTCATTTCTCACAAATACCCTCAAACATTTTACATCTTTTTTAAATTCCACAAATGTAGAAAATGCGGGGTTTCCCTTTGGTGAGGACTGCAAAGAAATTTGACTTTTTTAAAAATTTTTGGCGTCCAAATTATTATGAGGAGAAGAAAATAGATAACGACATGTACGGATGTTTTGGTGATTGTCTTTCCAACGCAACTTTTTCATTCCATTGAATATACCTATTTTCAATTTCAGTAATAGAGTATGATCTCCTTCGTTTCACGGCCGCAAGGTTCAGATTAGCATTTGCCTTCTCATGAACAGATTCATTGAATTTTCAACCGTTTATTTTTTTCAATTCGTTTTATTTAATTACATATTCATTTCTCCACAAACATTGTGTTTCCCTCTGGGACCTCGTTTAATGGTCTACAAGACAATCGTGATGAAGACAACCACACGTATTTACGATTCAAGCTTACTTCACTGCCCATAGTTTTGCACTTTTGTCGTTAAAACGTTTAAGGTTGTTGACACAAATATGCCCTGAACCTTTTTTTTAAAATACATCATATTACATTGGTTGAAGGACTCCACGGAATATAAAGAAGGACAATGTAAATCTCCCTTTTCATGAAGCACCTGACTGACCATGATTCGACACATGCGTATTTTATCCTATCAAACTCGGTAATTTCCCACCAATGCCAAGGTTGTTTGAAAGTGGAGCTAAATCACATTAATGTATCATTCACCAATTCAACACGGACGCCCACGAAGTCTTTGATTTTGAGTTCTGTGGTTTCGTTATTTTCGATGATAAAATTATAAGTTTTCGGAGAGCAATGCATGCTTTCAAAAAGGCCTACTTTTACCGCATCCAAGTAGATAGGGAAGGTACCTATTGTTGTAAAGAGAGTGATGCAGTAGTAGAGGCTTCCCCAGAAATTCCACGATGGGGGTCTTATCTCAGCTCCCAATTCATCATTTCCAGCCTTCCACGCCTGCAACAATTTGTCTCGGTACTTGTCAACTTGCAAAACCAGCTTCGACCAATCCGCGTCGTCACCTTCTTCAGCAAGTTCCTGCGCCAACACAAATATCCTCTGTCGGGCCTTGAAAACACAAAGACGGGATGGTTAAAAGCCTGTGCAACATTAATTATAGAGCTTTTTTTAAGCGCAGCAAAAATATTAACGATTTGCAAGCATGCCGCTAGCCTGGTCGTAAAGTACAACCACAGATCAACACTGAAGTACAAACAGAAGTAGATGCGAATTGTTTAATGACATTTAAATCGACATTTGACCAAGAAGTGTGGACGGAGACACAGATTTTGTTTTTTTTCAATGTGTTTTGTGCCATTTGGTGGGCTTTAAATCTAGTTAACATAATATCTTCGCCACTTATCCGTCTATATCGGTTGCCTTAATCATGTAATAAATCGAAAGATAAAAGTGTGTTTACAACTTCTGGCATCCACATGGCTGACTAACTAAGAGTATCCGCAGATATTGATGAGTTCAGCTGCCTGTGCAAATTCACATACTGATACACGTTCTCCGTGCATTTCTAAGCTATGTATAATCCATCTAAGTGAGGTGCAGAATATAGTTTAGTCAGAGTCCTTAAAATTATTTTTAATCTGAATTGATATGACGCCAGATTTCTTAGGTTTATTTTGGTTTGTCAGCAGGGTTGAAGCAAGTCCCCATGTCTATCCAGATTTGCAGACTGATACGAGAGTTTGGTATTGGGAAGTGCGTAGAATAGATAGGTAGGGGCATTTTGGATGATACCCACTGCTCTTGGTTAAGTCCAGCACGGGCCCCTATGCAGATCATGTCTTAAGCATCGAAGGAGTTCAGAAAGTGGCCAGCGGTTATCCTGTCTGAATGTCAGTTACTTTTCTGTAAGACTTTATGTGGCTGGCCCTGAGTCTGAACGTGATCCACGATAAATAAATAACGGTTCAGTTAGCATTGCATTACAACCATTATGGTACCTCAATGAGACTTCTGTGGGAAAAATTACCTTGTTTTACTAATCAATTTGGGCCCAGATTTGGTTAAATGCCTGCTTGGTTATCACCTGAGATATTCAAATAGCCATGCTGACCTCACTAAATAATTCGTCGTATAAGACACTGAAAATTTTTTTTTTGATTTCTTCGTACACACAGGCACAGTTGGGTAAAGGAAAAACCGCTAACCTTGGCGGCCTGAATCCTCGTTCTTATTTCAGCCGCTCCCTCGATTTTACTGAATATGTAAGCCCCTCCAAGGCTCAAAAGGACAAGGCAAATACTCAAACCGGTTGTTGTATTCAGCAATTGCCCTAAATTTAAATAAACAAGGCTTCAACATGAATCAATTCACTGTGCGCTTTTATTCACAAAGCGTCCGATCCAAATAATGAATGCACCTTTACCACTGACGTCTGCGTCGCGCAAAAAGTGAAATGACAAAAAAAAATAAGAAAAACTCGTAAGTAATCCTTAATTATGCTGTTTATGTGAGGCCACTGTATATTCACTAATGACTCTCCACTAAAGTCTAATAGGCGAAGCATTTCGTGTAAAAAAAAATGAGTAATTAACCCGATTTTTTATCGACGTTTGAAAGTTGCTTGTGTTAATTTACACAACAATCACCAACAGTCATGTAAGGGAAACAATTCTGAGCACTGCATTGACTTCTTTGCAAATGCACACTAATTTAACTTAGAAAGAGTAAAATTCTCACTAAATTTGCATTTTGTATGATCAAATACAAATTCACGATGATAAATTGTTTCATAAAAGTTATTTGATTTTGATGAATGCATTACATTTATCATAATTAAGGCATCTAGCGGGAGAGATAACACTTATATCTCCGACTCAGCTTCGTTTATCCTTTTTGGAAGGTTTTGTTAACTTCTCTGTTAAATGGGATATTCATGGTAAACACAAAACCCAGCTTTGGATCAAAAATACTCTTAAATATGCAACTCAAACCTAGGTATCTTAATCACTCTATTTATATTCGACTTTTTGCACTGACTGTTTGCCTTTTAATTTCCTGCTTTTTGTGAATTTATATCCTCCACACTTTCTTGGACGCATTTTGGTTCAATTCATATATACGTCGCAAATTGGGACTGTTGTACAACCCTAATTTCATTATGAAATCTATTGTGTTAAACTGAAATTCCTTTCAAAATAATACGGGTTCATAACATTTTTTAGTCTCAAACGTAAACTAGGTTTGTTCTTAGAACCGAATACTCACGATAAATTGACTAGCTACTACTACTACTACTGTTAAGTTAGCGTAAATGAACTCAAACCACAAACACAAACCCTTATACGTCTAGAGTTGCTTCCATTTTATGGTGATTAGTGTCCAAAAAGATAAGCTGAAAACTAATTTTGTGCTGAATATGGTTCAATTCGTTTGACTGCTGCCCTGTTAAATATGCCACTTTAAGAGGACATTAGCTGAGTCATGGCGCGTGGTAATGCGATACAAATTTAGATGATATTTGGCAAATCACCATTTTTGTACACGTCTGAAAGACTTTTTTTTCTGTTTCTTGCTTTGGTCCACTGTGGCAAAACCTGAAATCAAACTTCCATGGTTTGATACGACTGTGGCCAAAAATATGAACGTAGGAAACTGAACCAGCAGAAAGCTAGTTAAGTGATTTAATTGCATAAAAGACAGTGAGAAAGAAAGAAATACGGATGAAATAACCCTTAAGAAAGGTCTTCCTCTTCTCCTTAAGATTGTCAGGAATATAATTTTGCTTTGGCTATTCCCGATATGAAGGGAATAAATTTAGAAAGTGATTTAAACCTTTTATGCATTTTAAATAAAAATGAAAGCGTCTGAATTTAGTTAAATATAATGATTTCAGTATTTCATGCATGAAACAAATTAATTAACCTAATAAGGTAAAATTCTGTAAGGAAATGTAATGAAGCTCCCACTTTTGTGTTTATAATAATAAGCCAAATAGAATAAATGACTAACTGTCATCTTAACCTTTAATCGATTTTCTTAGAGTGCTATAAAATTTGAACTGGTGAGTATTTATAGAATAGTGACGTCCATTTATAAAAGCAATGCAATGGCACCACCCAATGCCGATTTCCAAGTAAAGAGGTAACTGCTTTAATCAAATTTTGATTCAGTCAAAAATTAAATCCATACCGGCTACTTTACTCCTATCCCTGTCTTTTTGTGACTTATTTCTTTATTTGAATTTTCCACCCTGTCACGAATATCAACCATGCTAAAGGTGCACTAGCTTTATGAATTCCTTCTGTATTAATTAGGTAGCATCTACTCGAGTCGCCATGCATAGAAATTTACTTTCTTGTTAAGTGGAGCAAGTGAGCTCAGGAAACCAATTCCCGCACCAACCTTCCAGGCTACCACTGCTCCTCCCCCCAACATCAAACTGTTCCTCTCTACAATTGTCGACGTCATTTCCCTTGTTTCATAGTAAACAAACCCAACGACAGTCAGGGTGGTCCTATAGTATCTCCCACCACCGACTTCGGTGTTAATTCAAAGCAGTTTGCTACATACTTCTCCCAATTAAATCTCGCGATCCACAGTAAGTTTGGAAAAATAATACGTTTGCTTACCGAAGCGGCCCATGCTCAAAAGCGGTTATAAAATCCTTTTAGTGGGCAAAATCCAACGCTTCATTTAGGCCAATGTGCAAATGCAAGTCAGGAGAAAGCATCTACACGGTCCAACAGCTTGCGTGCACTGGCCTCGATCAATAGGTAACTTCTTCTTCTTACTGGTCGACGCCGCTCGTTGCTATGACGACCAGCAAGCGTGCTATTTGAATCGAAGTCTTGCTACAACGTGTAGGTATGCAACAGGCGGGGGTTTAAAATTCATCTCTGTCGCATGCCTCGATCAGCCTCATCAACGTCATTATATAAATTTAGCGTAGCCGCAATCCACACTCACGGAATAATATTCCGAACTGGATTTAACACATTTACCGTTAACTTAATGGGTAACCAACAACGAGACATGTTTTATCAAAAAATTCTTGCTGGATGCCGGCATACTATTACTGCATTTATCCCAAAACCAGCGTAATAGTAAAATGCTCCAAGCGTTGGAGTGGATTTTCAAATGAGATTTCTTTTAAGGTTAGACGTTCTAATCACGAACGTGACGTGATGTCCCTTTATAGTAGAAATATAAAATGAAAATGTGTGCAAGTTTCTTTGTCCTATGCGATAATTTAACCTAGATAAGCCTTTTTTGCAGGATTAAATAGGACCTGCTTAATACAACTCCCACCCAAGCGTTAGGTTACATTTCTTATGGCAGTGTTCTGGTTACCTCTGTCGACTACCCCATGATGCTGGTATGATTTACACTACTCTGTGGTTTAAACATCCGTTGTGGCCAGAAATTTGAGACAGAAAACGGAGAGACACAACCTCTAAGTTGTGGTGTCGTGGATGCCTGATGTAGTTAGGACCTAAAATAGGTTGAGTGAACGGCCAGATAGGTGAAGCGGACAGCAGGGAAGGTACATGCACTGGAGGGGGTGAGCAGACGGTCCCGCATGGCTGACGGGTGCACTGGGAGCAGGGAGGGGGCAGTGCGTGCTGCTGTTCAAGACACGCATCCAGCTGCGTTCACTTAAACACGCCTTGGGCGTCCTTGACCTTATTTGAAGTGGATCAAACACTGATGGGACTCCCAGTGGGTGGCTGTGGAGTTAGTTCCACCACATGAAGTTCTGCAACTAGAGTGATTGTGCATTCAGTCACAATATCAGAACTGCTCGAAGAAGGGTTTTTTGAAATGCTGATTTCCCTCTCAGTCGAATCGTCAAAATTGAGTGCACTCATTCTTCGACAGTGAACGATATTCACGAATCGGATGAAAGCAGTAGCATTTAGCCTGATTCAACAGACTAATCTTGATGCCGTTGGTGGCTGTCATTGCACCTGCCAGAGATTCGATCAAAATTCATCGCAAACGTTCTCGATTTTGATTGGTTTAAGCTCTCATGTTCTGGCTTTCGTTTACTAATTTGATGCATGCAACATTCAACATTGTGCAATGAGGGACCTTAAAAGAACTGCGTGAACCTGCATTTTCACAAGCGCACTAGAAGATAATTCATGTGAGGCTTAGGTGTTATTTCTCCCTAAACCAAAACGCGTGAAATTTCCTTAGAAGTTGGGGACAAATACAGGTTTCCATTTTGAGCGGAGGAAATAATTAAGGCTTTCAAAATGACAAGAAAACACATAACTTCGGTAAAACAGCTACTTACATTTGTAAGTAGCCATCTTCTTCGAATAGGCTTCCAAATGAGTGCAACCTTTCCTAGAAATGGCACCGGAAAGCGGATGGGTGTTTGCTAAATACCACGTGTATTATGACTTGATATTACAGTGAAAAACTGGGATTTGAACCTTACTTCGTCGGCGATTCCTTTTTGAATAATATTTGCCAATATGCAACAAAAGTTCGGTCGCAAGCACGACTTAGAGCCTGGATTTGGCCTCTCTAGAAAACCCGTAGATGATTGCAGTAG